ACAATATCTATGCGTAGCAGATCAGAAAGTTCAGAAGTTTTTGAAGGTTTACGTTCATTTTACTGGGATAAAGTCGCTGTTGATAATGAGCGCATCTGTTGATTTAATAGTTCTGTTTGTTTATAGTTCGTGGAAATTTGTATATCAGTTGAATTAGATGTAGAAAATTAAAAAAAAAAAAAATAGATGTAGAAGATGAAAAAAAAAAAATAGATAAAAAAATAGAAGATGAAAAAATAGATGAAAAGATGAAAAAATAGAAAATGAAAAAAAAAATAGATGTAGAAGATGAAAAAAAAAAATAGATATAGAAGATGAAAAAAAAAATAGATGTAGAAGATGAAAAAATGTATTGAATTAGTATTGAATGTTGTATGAACTTGTGAATCGGCGAATGGAAACCTTTTTTTTTTAGAAATACATTTAATTTCATTTGACGCTGGATTAATTTGCTGTTCAGTAAAATTCTGGCTTGCAGAAAAAAAAACTTCAGTTTTTTGGATTTAGATGCAATTTCATTGAGACGTTATTTGTTATACTCTTTTCGTTTAAGCGAGCTACTTTTATGGGTTTTTTTCCTTTGATTATTCTGTCCCATTAAAAGCTATAAAATACAAATTATAATTTTAAAAAATTTAAAAATTTATTAAACCTTTAGAAAAAAAAAAATCAATGACAGATTACGATTGTAAAACAATATTCTGGTTCACTGTTGATTATAATATATATTAATATGATATTTTGATCTGATCGAATGAAGTAATTAAAATAAAGGAAAATGTTATTTCTGAATATTCAAATGGATTAGTTAAATGTAAGATAATAATATTGATTTGATTGATTTTATATAAAAAATTAAATTCGGTATGGGTTTATTTATAAGTAAATAATATTAGCCAAATGCGACTTAAACGCCAAATATTGTGCACTCGAAAAAGTAAAAAACGCGGCATTAACAAGAATGCCTTGCAATCGTAAGACATTTAAACAACTGTTAGATGCCTTGCGACATTGTTATTGTTAACCCAGTTGTTAAACTTGCGACAAGTTTAACAACTGTTTGGCTACTCCATCATATTTTGACGTTTTTTTTAAGAATTACACCTAAAAACTATTGTATTTTATTTAATATCTTTTTTAGTATTAAAATTAAGAATTGAAAAGCTGGGTTTCTACTACCAGTAACTTTTCCGCAGAACGGAAATAAAAATTATCTAATCATGTAACATAAAAATTTAAAAAAATGCGCAATTTTTATTTCCTGTAAGTAGAAATCCACCTTTACGTATTATTTGTTTTGTGCTACAGTTGCAGTCTTGTTAATTTTCTTGACATAAAACTGCAAGAAAAGCTTATAAGAAGAAAAAATTGAGGAAGCAGCTGGACGCGTTGGAATGTGTCCGATATTTTAAAAAAGATATCTTGTTACCTAAAATCAAAAAATATAAAAAAAGTTATTTTAAAAAGCTTGAAACGCTTTAAAACGTTTAAAATTTATATTTTAATTTAAAAAAATGTGCTAATGATCGCTAGCAAAGCTCTATGTGGAGCAGCTAAACGACGGAACCTCTATGTGGAGCAGCTAAACGACGGAAGAAAAAAATTTAGAAAACGAATATAAAAAAACTATGTAAAATTGACTCAATCTTGTTACCGATACAGAATAAAAAGGAAGAAATACAATTTGTTGCAAATTTACTTAATTTGGAAAATGAACAGAAGGATGCCAGAGAGAGTGACATTGAAATCATGAACTACAAATAAATATAAGTTCTCAAGTTAATAGTTTTAAAGACTATACTGTTGCATCCGAGATTTGTCTGATCACGACTCGCTAGATCTCATAATAAGCAATGAAAATGAACCATTTAACTCTGCAGCACTTGTAAACTTTGAAGATCCTACTAATAGAGGGCATTATCCAATTGATATAGTTGATCCAAATATAAAGAAATTTATTGTTGCACATGAATCATGTAGACCAAAGGTACCTTTACCGAGAGACAACAAAAATAGATGTTTTTCTGTTAGTTACTATAACACAACGACGAAGACAGATTTGACTATACCGGTGACTTGGTTGTGCTATTACAAAAATTTAAATGCTGCATATTGTGAAGTTTGCTGGTTATTTGGTGATAAAAATGATAAAAACTATCGAAAAAGTTGGAGTAAAGGTATACAGGACTGGCAGGGGTTTCCAAAAAAAAAAAAAAAATTAAACACGCTAGTTCGAAATGCCATAGCCCGTCTTGTATAATATATGAACACTGGAAACATCATTAGACTTTGAATAAATCAAATAAGGAAGAAACTCAGAAAGATAATAAATTTTGGCTGGAAGTTTTAAAAGCGGCTTGTCATAGTTATTCTACGTTTAGCCTGCAGTGAACAGTCATTTAGATGGCATATTGAACATTACAAAGAAAGACTAATTTAGTTTAACTATCCGCTATACAAAAATAAGTAACAATAGTAATGGCATTGCAACCGAGATATCAATAACTGAAAGTTTCATTGGTTTTTTTAGGACACATGATCAATGTGCTGAAGGATTGTCTTATCAAATCCTTGAAATTCTGAAAAAGAAAGGAATATCTTTATAAAAGTGCCGTGGGTAGGGATGCGACGGTGCCAGTGTTATTGCAGGTGTTTATGGAGGTGTTCAAAAACGTATTAGTGATGAACATTAATCTGCGGTAAATGTTCACTGCACATAACTTTAACCTCGTTAAAAACGATGCTGTTAATGGAGTTCCTGAAGTTGGTGATTATTTCACTGTTCTACAAAATAAATGTAAATTTTTCGGGATTAACATTAACAGATGGGTATGCTTAGCAGTGTAACTGGAGAATCACCAGTAACGTTGAAAAAACTAAACCCGACATGATGGGCTGGATAAGCAAAACGTTTGCTTGGTATGAAAATTAACTATTTTAACTCCTTAAATCTAAATCGCTCAAAAAAGAAGAAAATGATGAATCATTAAGACTTAGAAAATCCATTAAAAATTTTGATTTTGTTTTTCTGCTCGTTATGTTTTCTAATATACTTGGAGAAATTTACGTATAGATTAATTTAGATGCAGATTTGTTTATTGTCTCACAATATCTTGGAAATGCATCGGAGACGACTACAAAGTACAGACTGAATTTCGACTATACTAAAAAAAAAGCATTTGCTAGCAAGTGGGGTGTTGAAGTAAAATTTAAAGACAAAAGAGTTCCAAAAGTAAAACATTTTGATATGTTAACCGATGAACAAAGATTGACTGAAACAAGAGATAAATTTCAAGTTACTATTTTTAACCGTGTGTTAGATATTGTGAGCACAAAATTGAAAAATATATTCCGTATTTTTTTGTATTTTTTTCCATTAACTCCTCTCACTGAGGATGACAACAACATAATCAAAGCTGCAAAGTTATTGCAAGAAAAATATCCCTACGATTTCTCGCTATAGTTTCTGCTCTAATTGCTATCTTTCCGAATGTAAAATTACAACAGTTAATCAACTGGCAAACTTACTAATTGTGCATAACACCTCCAATTTATCTTCATATCTTGATGTTGTAACTGCTTTGCCCTATGTTTTTAACATTGCCAGCCACTGTGGCTACAGCAGAAAGGTCATTTTCAAAACTTAAGTTCATAAAAAATTATCTTCGTAATTCAATGGATCAAGAACGCCTTAACGGTTTAGCCTTGTTGAGCATTGAAGCTTCGCTGGCAAAAGTTATGGATGTTGACCAGACCATTGACCAATTTGCAGATTTAAAGAGCCGTCGCAAGGACTTGTCTTATAATACCCATCTGTACTGTGTATAATAGTATAATATATAAATGTATCATGCTCAATTTTTATGCCAAAATTTACGTAAAATAAAGAAAATTTGGTAAAAGAGAGCGGTCGATCGCATATGACGACCCCACACAGTACGGACATGCATTTCTCAAAAGTGGGTTGATAATTAAAAACATAAAATTATTGTCAATCAAATTGTCATGGGTTGTTTAGAGGATAGAGGGCCCCTTTCGAAAGCCATGCGGGGGACCCAGAATTAAAAGTTACGCCATTGTAAATGTACTTCAAAATCATCTTTAATGTAAGTACCAAATATGTACTTTAAATTATATATTTTTTAACATTTTAGATAAATTTAGTTAACCATTTATATTTTTGATGTGTTTAATGTGCATTTATATATATTTTTAACAACTGCATTTAAGCTCAAACAAAGCTTATATTGAAATACATTTGTTATAAATGAAATGATACCTTCTAAATTCTCTTCCCTAAATAGTGAAATTTTAAGCTATAAATTTCGAACCTTTAGTAGCAAACCTTAAGTAATATTCTAATTACGCAGCAAAGCAGCAACATCTATATTTAGTGTTAGATACAATATCATTCATAATTTCATAAAATTGAGTCATGGGGCAAACTTCTAGCAAAGAGAAAAGTGAATAAAAAAGCACAGTTTGATGATGCCGGAGAAGGACCTGAACCGAGTCTGTGCATTATGTGTGAGGTCAATATCGTCTACCCCAATATATGCGACCTTAATGCAACTTCTGTGTTGAGTGGTGCTTTCTAAGATACTCATAGCTACCCTGAGAGGAGGCCAATAATTCGAAATTTTTTTGCGATGAATTCCGCGCTAACTCAACTTAATTTTAACCACTTTTTTAAAATATTTTTTAGTTGCTTAGAATTTATTATTCATTGTGTCTGCAACATTTATTGTTGAACTTTTTTTTCAAAAAAGGATGGTATATTAAATGATTCTGTTAAATCAATAAGAAATATAGACATTAATTGGAAAAATATTTTTTATTGTAAGAGGTTGGAAAAGAATCCATTAAGTATTATGAATATTGTGATAACTTGTTTGTCTTTTATATTTATTTTCAAAAGACTAACATCAAAAATAAGATATCTACACATAGCATTTTATATAAACATGTCAATATTGTTTTTATAATTTTTATAATTTTAGATCAAGAAACTGGAGCAGCACCTATTGAAATGGATATTCCCAAATCAAATACAAGAATTAAAAGTAAATAATAGTTGTATGAAACTTTTATATAATTCACAGAGAATAATATAAAAATGGCTACTCAATAAAATTATATTTAATACTTATACTAAAAGTTATATTTAGTATTTTTACTAATTTTAGTTAAAATTATTTGTAAAGATAAGACTTTAAATTATCTAAAATGTTGCCGCAAAATAATAAGAAAAAACAGCTTTTTTATTTTTGGTCCAATAATCAATACCAATTATATCAAATTTAAAAATGTTGTTTAAAATAATTTATTGTTAAAAAAAAACATTGTTCTCGTATTTAGAAGTTGTTGCCTTGACATACGCTTTTAATTTAGTGTAGTTGTTTTTATGGCATATGCTTTTATAACTTCTTTGATTTTTTTTTTCAATCGATTTAAATTTACTTTTTTTTTAACAACTTTTCTCTAACCAAATAGAAAGCAATTATTATTAAAGTTGGAAAGTTACCAAAAACAAAAAATACCGTTCAAGTGCAAGAAAATGATTAATAAAAGAACTAAAAAACTGTAAGTTGTTAGAATCGAGAAAATTCAAAAGACGGGTAAGAACCTCAACTCATTTATGTAAAAAAACAGGCGACCTTTGCAATTGTTTTTCTAAAGTTAGCCCAATATGAGTGTTAGCTGGAATAGTAGTGTCGTCAATAAATAGAGCAACCTCGGATGTAAGGTTTTCAGAAAGATTGATAATAAAGGTGAGAAGTAATGCAGAACAAATGTGAAAACTTGTGGTATATCAGAAATTCTATGTATATATTTTCTGGTCAGAAAATAATGATTCAATGACGTAAAAACTTCCAATACACATTATATGAGGCAAACTTATGGAGAATACCAGCGTGCTATACTTTATTAAATTCTTTAATATATCAAAACCAAGAGCCCTTTCCGCCTCCATCTGATGCTTTATTGAACCTTTCTGTTATAATAGTTAACAAGCTATCAGTAGAATGGGAGAACCAAAACCGATATGGATTGTCATAGAGTAAATTTTACAAGGAAATAATTTGTTAGTGAAAGACTCAAAGAGCTTACGTATAATATAGAGAAAACTATTGAGTTGATAGCTGCGGGGTCAGAATATTCTCCAACGTTTAAAAATTAGAGCCACAGATGCTATTTCCCAGTAGCCACAATCTTCAGAAGAATTTAAAATAACTTTAACAAAGAAGTAATTTGAATGTCTAACTATAAATAAATAAAAAATTTATTAGATGACAGGAAAGTTCGACAAAAAGGTGAAAACCGTGAAAATGAGACTTGATTGAAATTAACAAGAATAAATAAAAACTTTTAAATATAAAAGATTATATGAGCAAGAGATAGAGAACTATGTGAGCAGGAGAAAGAGAAAGACTAAATTTGTCAGTTTTATTGCCAAGTTTTGGCCAGCGATACTAGAGTCAAGCGCTTCAGTGAAAAAATTATTGAAGTCACCAATAAAACAAAAACTAGGCAATAGATAATGAGAAAGGGTTTGATTTATTTGGTCAGCAATAACATCGAAAAGAGTGCAGACTTTTGCGAATTCAGCAAAGAAAAAGTTAATTGAGTAATGAGGTGCTAAACAGAAGCAGATAAAAGAATGAGGTGCTAAACAGAAGCAGATAAAAGAATGAGGTGCTAAACAGAAGCAGATAAAAGAATGAGGTGCTAAACAGAAGCAGATAAAAGAATGAAGAATGAAAAAAAAGAAAAAAGAAGCAGAAGAATGGTAAGAGGATTTAAATCTGATTTCACAACAAATTATTGAAAAACAATTCATGCGCAACATGGCACTTTAAATACTCTGATATTTTAAAAATATTTATAAATTCAGCCTCTCTAAAGACAATAGTCTGTTGCTAAGACAGTAGTCTGTTGCTGTTTACATCTGCCCAAGATGAGTATTTTTATCAAGACACTATCTCTAGGCTTTCCTCAACCAAAACTCAGAGTTAACTTATCTCGCCCTTGCTTAGAAAAGCAAACCCTATAAACCAGCAGGACATGGTGCAGATTACACTGGACTGTATGTTACCAGTAGGAGAATAATCATCATAACCCTACACCTGAACTGAATCTTTAAGTATAACTTAAAGATCTGACTTGTGCATACTGCACAATTTAAATAGTAATAAATTGTGTAAAAATGATAATTTATAATGACTCTGAAATATAAATAAACAAAATAATCTCAAAATAAAATAACTGTGTTAGCATATTAAATATGTACGTCAGCATTTGAATGGAGTGCATAATGAAAGAGGTATTTGTTATTCGTGATAATCCTTATCATGAGCAGACCTAAATCTTGAACTTAAAAACCTGACTTTTATATGATTTAATTAGCAAAAACTATACCAATTTATAATAATTTACTATAATTTCTTTTTAAATAAATCATTCCTCTGCTTTTCCACAATCAGTCTTAAATATTTTTTTTACAATCAGTTTTAAATATTTTTTGAAATTTTACTTTGCGTTGTATTTATATTAGAAATAAAAATATTTAAAGGGTAAATTTAAAAAAGTGTAAAACTATAATTTTAAAATATTTTATGATATTTTAAAAGGTTGATGAGGTGATACTTTTTGAACTATGTAAATGAGATATATGAGGCTAGTGTGTGTAAATCATGTGCATCAGCATGTAGAGGATATACATCAATTTTTTACATACAGGCAGGGCCTCCGAGAAACTTTCATGACTTCCGGGGTATAGCAGCAATTAGGCACTCCTATAAACAGAGCTTTGGCTAGGCTCCCCCCACTTATCCAGTTAGGGAAAGTCCAACTTTTTTAGGGACCTATTTGCAAATTTAGGGTCCTTTTTGTAAACGTACGGAGATTTTTTTTTTTTAGTAATACCTAATGGAAAAAATTTTAGGATTTTAGGGCCCTTATTACAGGTTTTAAGAGGGGAACCCTGGAACTAGTAGCAACAGCACTGTTTATAAGCATAAGTTAATGACTGTGTTTGTTTTTTTCAATACCGTTACATAAGATTCATACTTTTATAAACGGTATCTGGGTAAAATTACGCATATAAGTGTTTCGCAAATATGCAATACATTTAATATTCACTGATTAGATTTATTATTATTATTTTTATTATTATATATTTCGCCGTTGAAAAAAGTTTACAAGTTTGTGCAATACAATATATAATACATGGCTGGGGCAAGAAGAAGACTAGTTTAGTCTTATCACCAAGCCCCTTTAAATAAAACTGACAATATTAAAAATACAAAGCAAAGTAACTCGTTAAATAAACGTTAAATAAAACGTTGCGTTAAAATGAAATAACGTTAAATAAAAACAAAATAAAATACATTTTACGCTATGTTAGAGTGTAATATATCTAAAAATATAAGAACATTTTATTAATTAATTTCATTTTTTCTAACTGGTTTTAGATTTATAAACCTTTTGAATTTAAATCATAAAATAACAGATAATACACGAATAACAAACAAAACAAAAAACAATTTTTTAGTAACTTAATGTGTCTCTTATATATGTTTTTTTATATGTTTTTTATTAAAGTTTATTATATAAAATGAAAAAAAAAAAAAAATAAAAAAATAAATAAATAAATAAAAAAAAAAAAAAAAAAAAAAAACGTATATATAACAGAATATGTATTTAAACCATATTTATAAAGAAATAAAATAAATAGACAAACGTGATTACTCCTAGTCAAAGAATTCAGAAAAATTTTAATTCGTTGTCATTTATTAAAAGCTTTTGCTTAAGTTTGTTTTTAAAATGTTTAATAGAAGAAATAGTTTTTAACTCATTATTCAATAGCGTGTTCCATAGTTTAGGACCTCTGTTTGCAATTGAAAACTTAGTAACAGAGTAATAGGTTTTGGGTTGAATATAATTGTTTTCTGAAAAACCTGTTGGGTATCGATGATTTATTTTTTCCAAAATTGAGTTAAATAAAATAGGTGATTTTTTTTTATTAACTTTGAACATAAAAATAAGAATTTGATAAAGGTTTAGTTGAAATACGTTGAGAATATTAAATTTAATGAATAGAGGTTTGGTGTGCGAGAAACGATCTACATTTCCAATAATTCTTACAGCGTGCTTTTGTTTAATTAATAGTTTACTTATTTTAGTTGCATTAGTGCTATACCAGGCAACGTTTGCATTACTTAGTTAGCTATGAATAAATGAAAAATAAATGTATTTTAAACAAGTTTGCTTTAATAACAGCTTAGCTTTGTAAAGTAGACCAATATTTTTTGAAATTTTATTGTGAATTATATTTATGCGCCCCTTCCAACTCACATTTTCATCAATAACAACACCGAGAAATAACAATGAACGCTCTCTTACTATACAAGAGTTATTTACAACTAAGTTTGGAAGATTTGATGGGATAAGTCTCTTTTCATGAAGACGATGGAAGAAAGTATATATATATATATTTTTTTTATGTTTATGAATAATTTATTTGCTATAAACCATTTGCTTAGTTTTGCAAGTTCTTTGTTTACTGCTTCAAATAAAGAATTAATATACTTATCAGAATAAAATAAGTTAGTATCGTCTGCAAATAGGATTGAATTTAAGATACTTGAAAATTTATTTAAGTCGTTTATATAAATGAGGAACAAAAGGGGCCCTAAAATTGATCCTTGCGGGACGCCGCAATTTAATAAATAGGTTCTTTGAAATTAATATTGAAAACATTTTTTTTATTAGCAAAAATTATTTAATATTTTGCTATCTTTCGACAGATTTGTATCCAGTTCATTTTCAACATGTATTTCCGATAGGCGTTTTTGTTCTATATTTGTTCTATATTAGCCTAACAATCATTTTTTTAAGTCTGTTTTAAGTTACCTCAAGATTGTTCTTTTGCGACAAGGCTTTTGCAGTTGTATGACAATATATTATGGCCACCTATGAATATTGATCATTTTGAAATTTAATCTCATTTTTTTCATATGAAGAATAAAAGTTCATTATTATAAGTTAATCTTTTGTTTAA